GTTCGTACGGTACGGTACGTTACGTTAGTTAGTTAGTTAGTACGTACGTTCGTTAGTTAAGTAATTAATATATATATATAGTATAGTATTAGTTATATATATATATATATATATATATATATATGAAAAATTTTATACAAAGCCGAGGCTCTAAACAATCAAATTAGAGCCTAACTTCAAATCGTGTCGAGAAATGTGGTTTCAATATTGGAAATCTTTATGATAGCCTTAAAATATATTTTTATCTTTATTTATAAAGTTTAATACTTTTAAAATGATGTAGATCGACAGATTTATGAAAACTTGAAAATCTTGAAAATTGATGGTCCAAATATACGTTACAAGATCCACTATTTTCAAAACTTGAAACCTATTTTTTTCTCGTGTTCTTGCATCTTGATGTCGAAATGATCGATTTGAGTATATCTGGGCATCAAAATGACCTCTTCTAATGAACGTTTTGAGGTAGGCTCCAATTTGGTTGTTTAGAGCTTTGCCTTTATATAAATTTTTTCATATATATATATATATATATAAATATATACATATAGAAAAATTGTTTCATGTGGGTTGGACCACATTTTTACAGTATCCGGTCCAGAGGTACAAAGCATCCATCTTAATGATGGATGTAACTAGGTGGTCCATCTAAAAACAATTATAACTAACGGTCCAAATGTTTTTTTAATATAATTATTATTTCTAGTTTTGAAAAATTATTTATTTTTTTATATTCATAGTCCCCATGTTAAAGATTATATATTCTCCAAAAATTAGGATCAAATTATATTTAAAAAAGTATATTTATTGCCAAGCTCGCATTTCTACAATTTGTGGGTTGGCCGCATGGAAACCGCATCCTATATATAAGAAAGTGTTGAGGCTAGCCTACTAGCTCATATCTACATATGAACCCAAAAGCCCATATTGAATATGAGTAGATTTTACGGTCACGACTTCATTTTGTATTTATTTTAATTTTTTTTTACAAATCTAAATCACATGAAATTTTAGGCATTCATTCTTCTCATCATATATATATATGGGAAGTCACTACGCAATGCCTATAAACGAAAATGAACAATGTTTTCGTCCATAGGCTCGGCACCATCTGAATTTTTCAGACGATGATTATTTAAGATCGCCACAGACAATGCGCTGTCTGTTGCGGTTCTATTCAATAACCGCCTCAGACATATCACATCGATGACGAGGCGAAACACTTAAGACTTTTCTACACACACACACACACACACACACACACACACATATATATATATATATAGGAAAGTCTTCCCAACGCCTATAGGTAGAAATGAGCAGTGATTTCGTTTACCTTCATTACCGTTCAAAGTTCATCGCATGGTCACGA